TTAAAAAGAATCATGACACTAGACTGACAAAACATAAATATAAAAAGGGAGATCTTGTATATAAATTTGACAAAACTATAAAACAAAAATTTAAATCCCCATGGCTTGGTCCCTATTTTATTTCAAAAGTTTTGAGCACAGTGGTCTATGAAATCTGTTTTAAATCTAGAACTGAAGTTGTTCATATAGATAAATTAAAACCGTATGTAGGTGAAATACCAGACTGGGTTAATAGAAAACTCAATCAATTAGAATAAATGTTATGTTAAGAGTAAACATACACATTTTATACATGTATTTATTTATTCCTGTATAAAAATAATATTTTAGACTTGTTAATTTTATAAAGTATTAAGTATTGATTAATTTTATTCTTACAGAATTATGGTACTGTTTCAATGTTCCTATTTGTATGCAAAACCTGTAACTTTAAAACAATTTCCCATGCTAAATGGCAAAGACATTTAAAGGATCTTAAAAAACCTCATGTTAACAAAGAACATATTTGTATGAAAAGTATTAATCCTTATGTGGTGATTGTGGGTGAAGACATTACAGAATTTGAATCAACATGTATAAATGACAAAATAGAAGATGAAGAAGAGGAGATTGAAATTGTGGAAGTAAATATTGATCCCAAAGATGAAAAAATTTTGGAATTAGAGAATAAATTGGTAAAAATGAAATCAACACATGAAAATCAACTTAAAGACTTAGAAGAAAAGCATACATTTGAGTGCCTTCGATTTGGGAATTTTATAGAGAGACTGGAAAAGAGGAAGACAGATCTTAAAGAAGAAGTGAGAAAACTCCAAAATAGATTAACCGAGACTCAACCCAAATCCTCTAAGAAGATCAGAAGTTCTGTTTGTGTCATTGAATCAAGAAAATAGAAAGAACTTTTTAATTATATTGAACTTTTAATGAATGAGACTTATTGTGATATATACATGTACATTGTTTGTTTTACTGTTATATATGTATGCTTCTTATGTTGAAATTTGAAATTTGAATATATATTCATTTTATTTCATGTAAATTCTAGGGACAGAATTCTTTTTTCTTTGAGAGGAGCAGTGTTGTGCCACGATTATTTACAGTATTCTTCATTCATTACTTTTCATTTGTATTTCCCGGTGTATATTTTTCCGCGAAACTAGGTCATACATATTTTCACTTTTGTACACTTGCTTGTTATGCGGAATGATTTTCTATAGTTACAACATAATTACCTTATTCAGAAGTTATTAATGCATCCTATTTTATCCATAGTTATCCTTTTATAATGTTAGAATTATCCGAAATCATACTTGTCAATTTAAAGGCCATTTTGGTTTACTTTCACAATTGTGTACACGCGTACTATTTTTAGGTGTATTGATTAACTTGATCTTTCAAACGTTTGGGGAAAAGTATAGTCAGTTTCAAATTATAGCCGCTGGCGAACAGCTGAGTTTCAGACAGTGACCCAGAATTATTTATTCAGGTATTTTGGCACACACTGCAATTCTATTTAATTGATTTATTGATAACTATTGTTAATGATATTAGCTTTTAATAAAGCTGCTTTTATTTATTTAAACAAATCTTATTTCTTGATTATCCAAAGTTTGGACTTCAAAATAGTTTTATTACTTTGACTTTAATTGATATTTGTATAATATCTGCCAAACCATTTACAATAACGGTTGGCGCTTCATGCTCTAGTCACATAAACCAAACATAGCAACAATTTACTATATATACCACTATGAAATAACGTTTGGATATGTTCAGCAAAATACTGTGCAAATGTTTGGCCAGCAATTGCATGCTGATGCCTAATAAGAAATATGGTCTATGGCAGACGTTTTATAGTCTCACATTATAAGAATATGAGAATGTCATGAGCTTTCATCTTTCTTCTATAACAACAGTTAGTAAGTTAATGACTTCAGCTGGGCTATATGACATATGTGTTGACTCTGGAGTTTATGCTCGAAATACAGAAAGCATATTCTTATTTGCGAACTGTTTAAATGTAGTATCCCAGATTTAATGCTGCCCTCTGATGCTCTCATGTCTCCTTTATTTAAAGCATTTTTCAATTGACAGAGAAACATAAACTGTATAAAAAGCATTGAACCAAAAGTATGGGCGGCGTTCCTTGACTGTCGAAGTTCAGGTTTTGTCTTACCCAAAAGCACAAAAGGCATTGACGATTTCTTTACTGTTTATAAAGATCATACATTTGCTTGAAGAATTGAGAACACATACCGGTTTTCGTCGAGGGACCTATGTCATCATATTTCCTTCAAGACCTTGTTTTACATGCAAGGGTAAAGAGCTTGAAATAAAAGTTGTGTATGCAACACACGGAGTTCGACTTGTCCAAGTATTTGATCGTGTGGAGGGTCTGAAGGAAGTAGAAATCATCTTACTCACAAAGCGATTTCTGAAGAAGACGACGACGAAAACGATGTCTGAACAAATTATGTAAAGTCAGAAATATTGGAAAATTATTTCGTATACATATATATTACAATAGAACTCATGGATGGTGGTTACATCTTTGACTATGTTTAATGTTTAAACCCAGGGAGGAACAATGTGAAGCCCTGTTTTCTGAAAATGTTGTGCACTTTGCATTTAAAGGAACCTTGCAGCAACTCTTTCTGAGGATTTCATAGTGGGCTGCTGATGTCAAAATTCCAGTCCATACAATCTCAATGTTCACAACAGAAAAATATATGTTTACCTATCAGTACTTCATTTAAACCATTTTATTCAGTTGCTTAGTGAAAGATTTGCCGCTTGCAACCGGTATATAATTAAACAAAAACAAAATAAATTCGAATCTTTCTTTAGAAACCACGTAAAAACCAGAAATATATCTTTAAATGTACATGCAATGTACAAAATATCAATTGAAAGCTATTTCCTGTTTTGTCTTTGCCTTTTTATTGTTGCCCAACTGAATTTCCCTGAAAATTGGCATTTGGTGATTACATTTTTTTTCAAATTGACTCGAAAGTGAACTGCTATTGTTTATTCTTTCGTTAAAGGAGTAATATCTTGCCTATTTCACAATTCAGATATTATTTCCTGACTTTTTATAACCCCTTGTGATTTTTTTTTTACACTAAGGAAAAACTCAACTTCGGAACTTTGGCCTAAAATTTTACCATTTTTCGATTCTACGACCATGCAAAATTTAAAGTTTAAACATTTCTCTAAACGAAAATTCATAATTTAGCCTGCAGTTAGGGTGGTCCATTAAAGTTGAAAATTTGTTGGCTTGGTCACTTCACTATCTACGGTGTGTTGTGTAGACTTTTTTGTCTCTCGGTCGTTTTTCGTTTTTAGGCATTGTTAGTTTGTCTTCGAATAATGAGTTTAAATATCCCATTGTTATCTTCACTTCTCCTTTGATATTTGGAAGACTTTAAATATTTTTTTCCAAATTAATGCGTCCAAGATGTGAATTATATTAAGCACTTTACATAGAAACAATTAAATCCTTCGCATGTGTTTTCAATTTGGATTATTGACCGTCAGATCAACTGGCCTTCCAGCATCAAGCCTTCGAATTACGAGTAGTAAACCACATATTATCTATCATAGTTTTCCATACCTTTCATTTGTATAACTAAAACATCCATCAAGAAATTTTTGTTTTGAACAATGAAAATGATACGTTATTTGTTCTAAATTTCAAAACACAATTTGTAACGCCTTCGGGACCATTTTTTTGAAAGCATTTGTATACATGTTGATTAAATAATACAACCACAATAGTTGTTATACATATAGTAATAAACATATCAGTTACGTAAGACACACTTATTTTTGTTTATCATGTCAAACATGCTTTTTGCAATATCTTTAATTACGTAAGAAAAGGGGCGCGTTTAAACCAGAGATACAGGAACGTTGTCACGTTCAGAAACATTTTACAGGGAAAAAAGCAGGATACACAAAATATCACGGATCTGAGTCTTTATAAATATGAACAATTATAAGTTCGACCATTGTTATGAAGATATCTGCAGGAGTAAGTATATTTTTAATCTTGGAAAATTAAAAGGACCAATATTGTCCTTAAACTAAGTATATATTTCTAAGTTAAAAGGTAAACAGGTTTTCTTCGACGTTTGTTTTGTGTAGGAGTGTGCAGGGTTTATGATGCTCAATCTTTAGTTTTCTGTGTTTTGTTTTGTGCACTGACTGTTACTTGTCTGATCGTATAAGAAGCTCATCGTAATTTCTTTTTTTACGAAATTAATTTCAAGATGTCGTATACATGATCATGGATAACATTTATAAATAGTATGCGTTAACATCGTTGATATGTATTTCCATTTATCAGGAACGTTCCAACCCAGGAGCTAGAACCTTAATATTTTATGAACCCTATAGCCCGTACAGTAAGGCTAAGCAATTATTGGTATACAGAATAATGAAAGATAGAAGTACAATTCATTTAATACTATAACAGTTACTAATATCTGACTAAACTACCATAATTGCTCTTTAAATTTGAATGCAGGAGTTTATATGACAAGGAAGTTGTGGTTAGCAATGGAATGCTTCTTGAACCAATATATTACAGTAGAATAAAAGTAATTCAAAACTAAAGTATATTGCGTATTGCGTGTCATTCTTATTCATAACCCTCAGCATTGGTGGCGCTTACCTTTGCTTCATGGTTCTTCTGTTAAGTCATTTAAGTTATTTGTTTTGTCAAAAAACTGAAACCCAAATTAAAGTTTCAGAAAATGAACAAACAAAACTTATAAATACGTATGAAATGCAATTATAAAGTCTGCTTTGCGAAAAAAAAAAATACACATAAAAAGAAATACAGTTAAAACAAGTTTACGAAGCCTTCCATATCTTTTAAGAAAGGTGATTTTTTTCTCATTCATTATTTTGGCGTTTGAAGAGTGTTAGTAATTACTCACTTCAATGATATTTTGACAAACGTTATACTTGAATTAAAAACCATTTTTTAGTAGATTTTAATCATGAAATGTGCACTATTACTGACCTTCGTCGTACTCCTGGTTGTTTGCGCTGATGACACACATGCCTGGTTTGGAGGAGGTGGAAGTTCTCGTTCTAGTTCTAGAAGAAGCGACTCATCAAAGTCATCGAGTAGATCTGGTTCTTCAAAAACAAATCGTAAAAGTGGCGGTGGCTGGTGGGGTGGTAGTAGAAGTTCTAGTTCCAGTCAATCCGTTTCTTCATCAGCGACAAAGTCAGTTCAGAAACAAGAAAAGCCAAAAGCAAGCGTAATTGATAAAGTGAAAGGGGCAATTAGTGGAGCCATTGATAATGTTAACACAAAAGCGAAAGAAGTAAAAACGTATGTCAAAGGATACGCTAATGGCGCAAAAGAGATGCACAACACATATACGTAAGTGTTGATGAATCTGGATTTATGGAATATAAAAGTATCATAAAAGTATCGTTCAATAATACACGTATATTTGTAACAATCTGATAACGGTAAGTGTACAAAAATATATTGTTTACACTAATGTGGTGATAGATAAAACAATCACAGATGCGATTAAAACAATAAAAGAACAAATGTAATACTGTATAAAAATAATACTAGGCATTACTGAATGCAAGTTCATAGAAGTTACTGGCATAGAAATCATGCCGTCCAAGATTCTAATATCGGCGACTGTCCTCCATTATTGCAATATGAGTAAATGCTACCAACCTATTAGAGAGATCTACCAAACAATTGCAAGATTAAGGCGCAGAACGATTTTCAGAAACAAAATAAGGCATATAGGTTGTGCATAATAGTCCTTCGACTATGAGCACACAACTATACTCAACTTTTTCTCAGCGGTTGCAAAGCACTTTTTCTAAATCAATTTAGTTTTGAATCAGGATGACACAGTCACAATAGTATAGTAAATAGTCTTTTTATATTCTTAGACAATGTCATAAAACTATGACAATGTCATTTACACTGTTCAAGCAGCACCGCACGTCAAACTCAGAAAAGCTGATTGTACATTAGTGACAATTTGTCACGCCCTCATGAATGTGGGCGTCCTATCAAATACCTTCAGAAAGCTTTCATTAAATTTATTTCGCACACAAGTAACTGTAGTTTCTAAACAAAACAAAAATGTTAATTCAATTTGCTTTGCATTAAACATGTAATGAAGCCACGGATTCATAACCTTCAAAAATTGTTCACTAACGGTTGCTAAAACGTAGAAAGTCTGAATAGAAATATAAAAATTATGTCCAGTGCGCGTTTAGGAACGGGCTCTATTCGGACATTTTGAGATATTTCAGTGGTGTACTTGTTTTGTGTATAAAGCATTTTCGAGTTCAATTTGACTTTTAATCAGTTGCATTTTCAATCTTAATCAAAGATGTGTTGGGTTTTCTTCTTTTCTTTAAGTTAATATCATGATTCTCTGATATTTCCCATTACCTTCTGAAATCTTGTTTTGAAGATGAATGACTTTACATTTTTATACCAAACATATAAACTTTTACTCTGTGTTTAAGTATAGCATTAAAAGTACAACATCTAACAACAGATAAACATTGCTAGAAGAAAATGAGCCACTCTTTCTCAGGTTGAGATGGAATATGTCGTTATTTGATTTTATGAGATAACAATAGAAACCCCTTAAATATCTTCAAATGACAAGCACGAAAAGTGACGAAACTGAACTTCCAACACCGAGTGATTATATTAACTAACATATACGTTTATACATGAGCTTTAGAATGATCGAGATCGCATTATGTAATGGACTAAATTTATAATTTTTTGCTGTCCCCCTTAATTAATCGATGGGCATTCCACTCCCTGTTTTTTCGAAGAGAGCCTTTAATATTACAATATATTACAATAAGCATATTTAAAGTACGTCGACATGCCGCTCATTTTTTGAAGCATGTCAAACTGTCACTAGTATCAGAAGTCCTAGTGAAAACATCAAAAATTATTGTACGTTATTGTCGGAATTGTGGACTACTGATTCAAAATAATGTTGATTTCGACGACGAGCTTTGTAACCGCTGAGAAAAAATTGAGTGTAATATATCTGTTGCCTAGAACTTGTAATAATGTCTAAAATTGCGTATAAGATATATAACATATCAATATATAATTAGAGAAATGAAAACTGCCACTAAACAAATGGTAAAGGATGGCAAAAGCGCAAAAGGTGCAGACAAGTACTTTCATGCAAAAGCCAACTACAAGGCAGCACAACATGGTCCTGGTGGTAAAGCAGCGGCAAAGCATATCAGGTAACTATATCCTCGTGAAATATGAAAAATGATCCTTCGCAAAAACTCTATTATAGATCATTCAACCACTCGGTTCAATACTTCAATAAAATTAACACTGATAAAACCTATATAATACCCCACCAGGCAAGTATTGCAATGCACGGTTTAACAACGGAGTGGATATGAGTTCTGCGTTGGAGAATTTTGTTAAATGCGAAACAGGGAGAAGACTTTATGAATGGTGTTAATAATTGAGAAATAGAATAATGTCAGTATTATAAAAATAATGAGATGTAGTATGATTGTCAATGAGGCAACTATATCCACCAAAGTTTAAATGAAGTCGATGTAAGCAACTATAGGCAACCATACGGCTTACAATGAGAAAAACTCATACCGTATAGTCGACTATAAAAGGCCCCGACATGAAATATATGAAACAATTCAATTGATAACACTACAGGTCTAATTTATAACAAAACAATTTACGAAAAACAAATATGACAGACATGAACCAACGACATTATGTTCACCTCAATAAGAAAAAGATCATAACTCTATTAGTTGGAAATATATATTTTTCAATTTCATGTACCTACAATTATATAAGTGTTTCCCTTAAACATCATGTTTATCAAAATATAGAGATTTAGTATGATTGTTAATATTAATGAGTTGACCATCCGCAAGAGACCAAAGAACGGGGATGTAAACAACTTTATGGTACTGTACGGCATTCAACTATGAGCAAAAGCCGTACCGTATAGCAAGCTATAAAAGTCTCCAAAAGGACGAAATGTGAATAAAAAAGAGGAAAACTAACGGACTGGTTTATGCTAATAACAACAAACTGGAAAAAAATGAGGCAGATATCAACCAACGACAGTCACTGAATTACAGTCCTCAGACTTGGGACAGGCGCATAAACAATGTGGCGGGGTTTAACATGTTTATGAGCACTTAACCCTTCCTTTAACCTTCGACAGTGGTGTAACAACACAACATAATAACAACAATAATCCATTGGAAAGAGCTTGACTTGTCAGACCGGTACTAAACATAAAAACCAAAAACCAAAAAAACAAAACATCCCGATCTAAGAGTACTCGCAGTTATTGCAAGCATGGTCACTTATTTTGTTATACTTTGAAGAAAATGAATTTAAAGTCTATATGCTTAAACAATAAACCAAAGAAAATTTGACAGACAGCAATCAACGATGTTTGATGATTGCTAATCTAGCAAGGCCTGTTCATCTGTGATATGTAATTATATTATAAAAAATCGATAATGAGTAGTCCACCTCAATTAAATAAGAATAGAAAATACGTAAGAAAGATTTTTTTTTAAACTTTATCTGTATTTTTTTTCTTATGTTTTAGTGATGCAAGAGAGACATATCAAACGGCATTTAAAAAAGGGAAAAATATAATTGGGAAAGTAAGTGACGAAGGATACAATGAATATGCTGCTGATTCCGCTAAAGACCAAGAGGCTAACAGACATGGACAAAATGGTGGAGATCCCAATAAATATCGCACCAAAGATATTCCTGACAAATACAAAAAATAATGTTGCCACAGTTACAATTTTTATGCTTAAGAGATCAGTTTATAAAACATGTATCTCTTGTTATATATTTCTATCGTTGATAAAATGTCCTTTATATAGCAGACCAAATTATTTAGAGCCACCTTTAGGTTGAATTTAAATCAAATTTAAAACTGTAACGGGGTATTTTCTAGGTAAATACAACACAAACGATGATCTAGGGTTCTTTTCTTTTAATACACTATATTTAGACCCTAAAACATATAACAACAAATAATAAATATTCACTTGACAAGACAGTACATGTAACATATGGGCAAAGGGGAATAACTACAATTTATACTCATTCCTTTAAATATCTATATACTCAAATAAGCCCTTTAATCACAAAAATCTAACTCTTTAGTTAACTTTCCAATACAATATTCATATGTATCTCATAGTAATAAATAATTATATACATCTCAAATCTTTTAAAGAGTATACAAATTCTGACCAACATAAATATATCACATAAACTACACTTCACATAAACAGACAATTACTTAAATAAAACTAGACAGCACAGACATTACAAGTAAACAACATAGAACACAATGCTTACCATGTATATGGTACATAGGTCAGTGTAGTAATTGGAAACATCACAGTGATGTGTGTATAAATCTGAGCACTACTCATACATGTCATATGAGAAGGTATTAATCCATATCCTGAATATAAGGATATTGAAAATCCAAGAATATGGAGTATAATATATATAAGAAATCAATTTATCAAACAGGTTATTTTTCACCACTGCATTTCAATATGTCTGCAGTATTAATCTCCAGAAACAAAGAAAACCTATAGTAAGGCCTAAGGCCTAAAGATTGACCAATCAAAAGGTTAGAATTTTCCCTCCGAAATGATATGACAGAAAAGAGGTTCGCCAAAGGATAAAGAGAATAATACTAGAACAATAGTACTAGAAATAGAAACAATGAGTAACTAAACTATCAAACATTGCAATAAAATTAATAATAAAAAATATCATACTTAATATATATCAATCAAATATGACTCTGCCACAAACTCCCCCTGGATGTAAAATGACGTCCCGGTCATTTACCAGAAGGAATACATACATATAGAAATATCAATAATAAAATGTTCCTAAAATAAATATAATAAAATACTAATCATTAGTAATGACTGCGAGTAGTGCCTCGCCTGCTTGTCTCTCTAATCCCGGAAATAAACCATGTCTCAAACAATCAGAAATAAACTTAGCCTTTTGTTCTCACTGTTGCTGTATAGGAACAGCAACCTTGTGAACAAACTCACCTGAGCGCATCCATTCTGGTTCAAGACGGATACGTCTTGAACGTCTAGGTACAGGAACTGGAGGTAATGGTATCACAACTGGTTCTGGTTGTGTCTCTATATCATCCTGTTGATCTCCTGAAGCGCTTCCTACTGTGCTTTGAACATCAGAATCATCTCAACTGGCACAAGTTGCAGTAGAGTGGGCGTCCCCATCTAATTCTGTGTCATTCTGTAATGGAGTGTCCATATCTTGTAGAGTAGGGTCCATATGATACTGTGGAATATCATAATCCAATCGAAGAAGAACATCTAACTCCTCATCACTACTCTCATAATCAGATGGCTCTGGTGATGGCTGTTCTGTTCTTTGTCTCAATCTTGTTCTTGGAGGTGGTACTGGTCTGGATGGTGGTTCTGGCTTTCTCTGTGTGATGTAACCCACAGCCAAAGAAGATTCCTATGAAGTGTGCGTCTACGGCCCTCTCTGTTCTCCTTCTGTACGGTGTAAACTGGAACATCACTGTTAGGTTGATCGATGATAACATAGACATCATCTTTCCAACGGTCAGCTATCTTATGTTTCCCATCATAAGCTACCACTTTCACCAATACTTTATCTCCAATCTCTAAAGTAGCTCCTCTGGCTTTTAAATCATAGCCTGTCTTCTGTTTCTCTCTGGCTCTGTCTGCAGCCTTAGATGTCAACCCATAAGCTTTGACAAGTATCTCTCTTAGTTCCTGAATGTACTTGGACTGTGGTGTCTAACTGTATCTGTGGTTAGTCCAAATGCTATATCTATAGGCAAGTTAGATTCTCTACCAAACATCAGAAAATAAGGTGAATGGCTGGTGGCTTCATGGCGGGTACAGTTGTAAGCATGTACAAGTGGAGCAACATGAGTCTTCCAGTTTATCTTCTGGTGTGGCTGTAAGGTTCCCAACATGCCAAGTAGAGTCCTGTTGAACCTCTCAGTCATGCCATTTCCCATGGGGTGATAAGGTGTTGTCCTTGATTTCTGTACTCCAAGTAGCTGACAGAGTTCCTTAATCACCTTGCTCTCGAAGTTGGCTCCTTGGTCTGAGTGCAATCTCTGTGGTATGCCATAATGCACTATAAAGCTGTTAAACAGAGCTTCTACCGTTGTTCGGGCGGTCTGGTTCCTTGTTGGTACAGCTTGAGCATAGCGTGTTTAGTGGTCAGTAATTACAAGGATGTTCTGTATGCCTCCTTTAGATGGTTCCAATGTTAAGAAGTCCAAACACACCAACTCCATAGGCTGTGATGATGAAATGATGAAATGTTGATCAATGGAGCTCTGTGTGGGTCTTTCTTTCTCTTGAGACATCTGTCACAGTGATTGATCCATTCATCAATATCCTTGTTCATGGCTGGCCAGTAAAATCTATCTCTGACTAAGCTGTTTGTCCTATCCCTTCCTGGATGACCCATCTCATTGTGCAATGATTCCAAAACTATAGGTACATGTGTGGATGGTAAGACTAACTGTCTAATATTTCTTCCATTAATGGTTATCTCCCTGTATAGTATGTTGTCATGCAACTTCAGCTGATCAAAATGTCGATTCAGAGAAGTGGATGGTAACTGTCCTTTCCTGGGTTTAGATCATGACTTCACAAAGTCAATCCAAGGCTTAAGATGTGTATCTGACTGTTGAACTGCAGCCCAATCAATATCATGCTCCACTTGCATGTGTAGATCAATATTCATGGTGTTGATAACATCAGGTTCAACAACTAAAGTGTCAAAATATGGTGTTCCTATGGTTCCACAAATTGCCTTGATACTGTCCAAAGATAAAGTAGCTTCCTATGCTGGTGGTAATCTGGAAAGTGCATCAGCTTCGTTGTTAATCTTTCCTGGCCTGTATGCTATGTCAAAACCATATGCTGCAAGTGCTGATAACCATCTGTGGCCTGTTGCATCTAACTTCGCTGATGTAAGTACGTAAGTTAATGGGTTGTTGTCTATTACCACATGAAATCGGTGTCCATACAAGTAATCGTGGAACTTATCTGTAATGGCCCATTTTAAAGCGAGGAATTCCATTTTATGAGCAGGATAGTTTTTCTCAGCTTTGGTCAGTCCTCTGCTGGCATGTGCAACTACTCTGAGTCTGGCTTCTTGCTCTTGATACAGCACAGCTCCTAGACCTAAACCACTGGCAACTGTGTGCAACTCAAACGGTCTGTGATAATCTGGATAAGCCAATACAGGTGCTGACGCTAAACTCTGCTTAAGCTGATTGAACGCTGTTTCTTCTTTGTCTCCCCAAGTCCAAGAGTGTTGTTCTCTGTTTTCTTCTTTCCTGATTTTGGCTTTGGTGCTGGTATAAGATCAGTCAGAGGTCTTGCTATCTGGCTGAAGTTCCTAATAAATCTACGGTAATAACCAGCAAATCCTATAAACCGTCGAACTTCCTCCGGTGTAGTTGGAGTAGGCCAAGACATCACTTTATCTATTATCTCCGGGTCTGTTTCTACACCATCTTTGGATACTATGTGGCCAACATACTTTACTCGTGGCATGAAGAATGAGCATTTCCCAGGTGATAACTTCAGGTTGGCTTCCCGGATTTTATCAAATACTAGCTTCAGTCGCTTAAGATGTTCTTCATAGGAGTTGGCAAAAATAATGACATCATCAATAAAGAGACAACAGATGTTCATATGGTAATCGCTGAGGCATTCTTGCATGAGGCGTTGGTAAGTAGCTGGTGAGTTTGTCAAACCGAATGGCATGCGGTTGTACTCATACAATTCAAGCGGACCTACAGTAAATGCTGTTCTTTCCTTATGCGCTTCCAATATCTCGACTTGATGGTAACCCCTTTCATATCGATGACCGTAAAGTATATATTCCCTGCTAAATGATCTAGAATGTCCTCTATACGTGGCAAAGCATATGCATCTTTTTTAGTATGGTTATTAAGTTGACTAAAATCCACACACATTCGTAGAGAGCCATCTTTCTTCTTGACGAGTACTACGTTTGATGAATATGGGCTGTGCGACTTCCTCATAATCCCTGCTCTCAACAACTGGTGAATGTGAGCCTTTACTTCCTCATACATGGATGGCGGTATGCGTCTATATCTCTGTTTAAAAGGATGGTTATCGTCAAGTTCAATCTCATGTTGTACCAGATGTGTATGTCCAACATCAATATCGCACTTAGAAAAGATGTCGCTGTATGATGTTATGAAGTTCTTTCCTCTCTCAAGTTCATCAGATGACAAGGTCTTTACATCAATCTTTACTTGTTCCAAAAGTGGTGTGGTGAAATCTGTATCAGATAAATCAGGTTGGTCTTGAATATCTACTGGTTGTAATTCAGCAATCACTGACTTAGGTGGAATAGTAACAGTTCTAGTTGTTATGTTGCTGATGTTCACATCTATTCTTTGGCTGATTCCATACTTGTAACTAATTAAAGATGGTGCAATATCTAAGTCATGTGGTATGACTGACTGTAATGTTTGTTGTACCATGGCTGATGTTGGATGATACGGTAACGCTTTATCAATGTAACCAGTTATACATATGTTGGAATTTGGTGGTATGGTAATCGGTCTCTGTTCTGCATTCTTAATGACTGCCAATTGATTCTTGTTCCTTTGTAGCTCCTTCTCTCTCAAAGTAATACAGCGGAATGATGTATACCATGGTGTGGTTAACTTAGCAGACTGTAAAAAATTATTTCCATGTCGTTGACGGCAACTATCCATGATATTTGTAAGTAGGTTGGTACCCAGTAATAGTGGTAAAGTTGAGTTGTATTCACTGTCAGGAACAACAAAAACAAAAAACAAAAAATTTACAAGTGTGGTGTTGATCCAGCTGTTTAATATATAAATCCACTTCTATATATCCAATATAAGGTAAAGATTCACCATCTGCACACTCAATCTTTAGTAGTTGACTGAAGGTCTGTATAGGTATATGTTGAAGATGCTGGTTGTAGAATGACTTACTAACTGTAGAAACGGTTGATCCAGTGTCTAATAAAGAAGCTGATTCTATTCCTTCCAAAGTAACTTTTGTTTCAGTCGGTGAACCACAAAGTCCAGATGGTATCTTGTTAGCTGCTGTACTTTTACAAATCTGTTGTTTGGGGCTGCTATCAGAACTGTCTACATCCCGCCCCTTGGTGTAGACTCCCTGGCGTTTAAATGCTGAAACTGAGCTGGCTTATTGGCACATCCTCTTGCAAAATGTCCCTCTTGACCACATTTCCTACAGTATATAGGTCTCTACCTCTCATATGTGGGTTGCTGTCCTTCAAATGCAGGTTGCTGTTTTTCATATGCGGGTTGCTGTTTCTCATATCCTTGACCATTCCATCTACCTGTTGTATAATTACCTCTTTGACTTCCTCTATAATTATTACCTCTATAATTTCCTCTATAATTATTACCTCTATAGTTTCCTCTATAACCTCTACCTCTACTTTGTCCTTGGTACTGGTTTTGGTTTTGATGTTGCTGCATACCAGTTTCAATTCTGTCTAATCTAGATGTTATTACATTCATGAATTCTGTAAAACTTTTCTCTTGTTCATTGTCATCATCATTATCATCATCATCAGTATTCTTGCTGACAGCCTTCTTTGATGTTCCCTTTGTTGTGTTTTCAAGGTAGGCATATCTATGATGTTATCCTATTCTATCCTACGTAAAGCAACGCGCAAAGAATCAAATGTTGTATATTTCTCTTTCTCGTAATGGCTAATAGCTTTCAAATTCTGGCGTAGTCCTTTCCATAGCATATCGTGCAACATTTCATCCGCTTCCGATCTTTTTACTTTGTCTGTCTGCAATGCCTTCTCTAATATATCTTCCAATCTAAAACTCCA